AGCATCAGGCTTCATGCAGCATTTCAAAGTGACAGCCGCATGGACCTTTGAAGCACCTCATTGTGTCCCCTGCCCTTGCTGCCTCTTTCTTATAGAGGCAGCAAGGGCTAGGGGAAGTGACTAGTCGTTCACATCCCTAGTGTGTTTGTTTGTATTGCTCTAGGATCCGCAGTCAGGGACCAGGCCCCTGCTATCTCAGGAAATGTACTAACAGAAGGAAAAGATGGTCCTGTCCCAACAGGCTGAGGGCTGGATTTTTAAATGTCTATAGGAATTGAATGCCTAGTCTTTCTGGAACTCCTACTCAGTGATTTTCTGTCCCTTTAGATGCCTGCATACTTGTGAAAATCTGGCCCTTGGTGGCTTGGAACACACATGGAATATTTGCTATTTCTCTGTGAGAATGCAAGCCTTTCTCTTCTGTTTTGGCGCTGAAGTCGTGAGGTCAGCTGTGCCTATGCGGGTTTACCTTTCTTTACAGCATCCTCCTTTGTTCTTCCCTGTCAATGAGCTGTTGGCTTGTGCTCTGCAGCATGAGCACTTCTAGATTTGTATCCTGTCTGACGGGACTGTGGATGTTCTCATTATCCATATAAACTTCCAGAGCTTGATTACGCAGTACATAATGGACCCGTGAGCATTGTTGCTGGTAAGATATTGTCAAAGTGAAGATTAGACAATGGGAAGATTACCCAGGATAAAATAGATCTAAGGGATATAAAGGGACTGGCACAACCACCCACTGGATTAGGAGGAATGTCCTCTTGTTGTTCCACTGCAGGGAACTTGCACTTTCCTCTGGCACATCTACTGGTGGGAAATCAGAAGCGCTGGGTGGAGGCTCTGGAGAGCATTGACTCTCTGAGCTCTTTTCTGAGCTTCATGGAGTCCCCATCACAGGCTGCCTGGTTGCGAAATAACGTCTGCTGGGCGAGGTTGGCTGTTTCGGTACAGAACGCCCACAGGACAGGCTGTAGAATTCCTTTGGATAACGCAGAAGAAGACATTCCCTCTCCAGAGGGTGTCTCAGAGCACAGGGATTGTCATCTTTCTGTGAATTCATGGAGTTTAAGGCCAGGAGGGACCATTAGGTAATGTAGTCTGACTTCCTCTATATCTCTGGCCATTTCACTCTGAATTGAGACCCAGTATTGTCCAGTGGTAGTTTCATACGCCCCTGGAATGGTTTCTTAGAAAGCAAAGAAGGGATTGATGGAGGGGAGAAGGGCATGTGGAGGGGACCACTGACTTTACTTTAAAAGAACAACAGACAGCAAACAGTAATGAACTCCAGAGAGCCAGCAAGTTCAAACGCCAGTATTTCAGCACAGGTCCGCAAGGGGAAATTACCTCCCAGTAACATGCTTTTCTGAAGACATCATCTTGCAGGGTTATCCTTGACTTTGGAGTGCCAGAGACTGACAATCATCCAGTGAGGGTATCTCTAAAAGAAATAGCATTATCCCCAGTTTACAGGGAGAGTCACCGGGCCACAGAGACCAAAGATTCTGGCCAAGGCAAAATATTGAGTCAGTAGCAGTCAGGAATGATTGTCAGGTCTTCACTCTACCCGACAGACTCTACCATCTCATTTAAGAATATTGGGGATTTTGTAGTTTGCCACAGTCCTGCCCCGGCTGATTGGGGATAAAGCAAACTGCAGCCTATTGGCGAAAGTATTTGCTATCGAACCATAATGCGTTAACTGGGGAGTCTTCAGATGTGTGTATAATTAATACACCCTTACAGGCCTGAAAGCTGCTTGCTTTACTGCCTTAGTTTGTGCTTATGGTTTACCTAGCAAACCCTTATACCTCTCGGCTACCAAATATCCTCTTAGCCAGGGCTACTCAACACACAGCCTGCGGCTGGGATCCTTTGAACATGCTCCGCAACGGCGAGTCAATAGAATGGTCTTCTGTTGACATGCGTTTTAGTAGTTACATTCCTGGACTGTCATTGCTCATTAAAAGTGCTGTCCTGTGGGTGGAAATCGGGTAAATTTTGCATTTCATTAATATCAGCAGAATTGACTTAAATGGGGTCTGCGTGTTGGGTAATCTTGCCTTAATCTTTGTATTCATGCCTGTCAGTGTGAAAGAGACTATTTGCATACATTTGCATATGCAACCACACCTAAGTTGTGGCCCTCGGCATGTGCTGTGAGTATCATTGTGGCCCCCGGGCTTCCAAAGTTGAGTAGCCCTGCTCTTAGCTCTTCCTGTTTCCTCCAGTTTCTGCAAACTCTCTGATTTTTGTCGTTTTAATGTATGTACGGTATGTTTTAAACTCTCGACATTTCTCATTCCTCCAAACATGTTTCAGTGACACAGTCTTTGATTTGTGTTCTCTGGGCAGTGCCCAGCTCGATGCAAAACCAGTGCCATCCTCTACCTGGAGGGTGGAGGTTTGTGAGGGGAAGTCAGAAGCGCTGGGTGGAGATTCTGGAGAGTGTTGACTCTCTGAGCTCACTTATGTCCCCATCCCAGGCTGCCTGGTTGTGAAATAGAGCTGTACCCTGCCTTTCCAATACGTATGTGTAAAGAGAAAGGCACGTTGTACACAGACACGCAGGCACACGTACGGAAGGGATAGCTCCATGGACAGAAATGGGAACTATGTGTGTGAGTGCACGGTCCACATTTTTCCATGTGCCAGTGATGGATGGCTACAGATAGGAAACAGACAGATCCGAGCCGCATGGCCTGGAGAAAAGTGCGTAGAAAAAGAGGGAGCAAACATGTGGCAGCAGAGCCAAGGGAATGAGAGTGAACAAATGCTTGCTGTACTTGCCGAGAACATTTGAACAGGTTGCAGCACTGTCTTGGAAAGGGGGTGGGGGAGGGGAATTAGGTCATTAACTCCGTCTGCCCAGATGGGAGAGACTCTTGGGAATTCACTTCAGGCAAGCAAGACTCTCCCCCACCCCCTTCTCTTTATGTAAATGCCATGATGCAATAGGCTGAAATCAACCTCTCTTAGCCAAGCACTCCAGGCTGTTGCTTCAACCACTGCTCGCTCTTCCTCAAACAGACAATGTGGAGATTTTCTCTGCACAGAGCAAAATCTCCCACTCCCATTTCTTCCATGGGCCCCACCCACTCAGTCCTGGGGCCCCTTTGCACTGCGAAAACACCACGCGTTTAAAGAGCGCTCTTGGAGAAACACGTGTGCCTTTTCATCCTTAGGAAGAGCGACGTCAGGGTCAGGCTCCAGGGCCTGCCCTGAGGAATGTAGGCCAAGGTTGTCAAATCTAGGTGCATAAAACTGGATGCAAAAAGTCCACTCTTAGGCACTAATGAATCTTTTGAATGACCAGTGTTTTGGAAAAGCAGGTTACTTATTCTGGTGCCTAAGGATAGATTTAGAAGCCTAGCTTTAAGCACAGAAGTTTGAAAGCCTTGGCCTTACCATGTGGAACTGGGCCTGTATTTCTCCCTTGCAGTCCCATTGCAGGTCCCGACTCTAAGTGACAGAACAGTACTGGACAGGCCCTATCACATGGTGAGAACTTTGACCCTTGGGATACCAGAGCTGCCACCTGGTTGTGAGTTAGTGCTTGTGGACTTTGGGGGAGAAGCATGGCCAATGGGCAGTGTAGACCAGGGAAAACATAGCCTTCCCAAAACTGCCTACATGCCCAGCAGCCGGAGAGACTGGAGCCGTGGCGGGGCAGCCCAAGACCTCCAGGTCACCAGGAAGGATCGGGCTGGGGTGGGTGGGGCTTGGCTCCAGGGGTGGGCCCTGGATAGAAGGGGTGGGGGCGGGGCTTGCCTTCCCCTGCTGGGCCTTCACCCACCACCTATGGGGAGAAGTGGCCCCTCAGAGAGACCAGGAGCCTGGCCCCTTGGAATAAGGGAAGGTAGTTGAAGCAGAGCGTTGCAGAACAGCCACAAGTCGGACCGAGACAGCGCTAGTTCTTCACACAAGCACACCCGCCCCGTATTGATGATAAGACATACTGCGAGGGTTCCGTGGACTGTGCCTGGAGGCCCAGGGCTGACCCTGCCCGGCTCCCGCCTCCCAGCGACAGATAGTGTCTTTGGGTACGACAGCTTCAGTGCCAACATGGACGTGGCTGGGGGCGGGGCCTTACACAGCAGCACTGAACCCCACATCCCGGAATCACCTTTTCTGTGGTTAGCATGCTAGCTAGAGTACAGAGCAGGGGGTATCTCCCCAAGCTGCCATTCACACCCCTGGCCTCGATACAGACGTACCTTTGGAGGGAGGGCTGCAGTGTGCTGGGGAAGCAGCGGGAAAGGCTTGCACTGCTGTTGTCCATGCTGCTAAGGGACAGAGGTCTTACGGTTCCAGTGCTGTTGATCCAGTGCTTGACTAAATCACACCAACATAACACTGAGCCAAGGAAGTCAGGTAGGCAGCGGTTAGCTGGTGGCATCTGCCGGCTGAGCTCTGTTCCATATCCACATGACCGTCGAAGAGTGTGTTCCCCTCATGCCCTTCCATGTGTTTTGGCTCTACTCCATAGGTTATTCCTTTCCCTATGTCCTGTGACCTCCAAGCAGAGTGTGCTTGCCTCGACCCTAACGCTCAAGAGAACAGTCAGAAGGATGTACGCAGCTTCAGTCGCGGGTAACGTACAGCAACGTGGGATGGCCGATCGCACCGCTAAAGGCAGGCTCGGAGAGACACTGCATCCTTTTTTGGTATTGTCTTTTAACATTTAGCTGCTCAACTGGATGGCATTTCTGCACCAGGGACCTTTAGAATTCAACCAGTCTGCCTTTAATTTTTGTCCAAGAAGAACTCAAATGGGGGGGGGGGTTATGGATTAAGTATCTCTTAACTAGCAAAAACAACAAACAAGCAGAAACAAAGAGTCAAGTCAAGACTTTTTAAGTATCAAAACAGCATGTGTTTATGCAGTTGTGTGCCCACCTAATTTGAACTGTTTGTATCTAGATCTAAGGCGAGAAACAAGCCATATAGAGATTGAGATCAAAGCAAAAACTCTTTC